AGAGAACACAGGTGCGACTCAATATATTGTTTTGCATTCGCAGGCCCTGAAATAATTGAAAAGCTATATGCTTACCATTTCGTATACCCACTTTAAATGAACTCTGTTTTGGACATATGGATACATTAAATGGTTGAAGATAATAAACACTGTTCACAAAAGACCCCTTTAAAACACCGTTTCCCAAAAAGATATAGACAAAATCCCGTAATAATTAGGCTTCGATTGTGGTAATTATCACATACGTTGCACCGTTGATAGACAGATGATATGAGGGTGTACTTTTACGAACGCTTTATTATCATCAGCACGTATGCAAAATAATGTATTGTTTGAGTTACACTTGGGACTTTTACTCCTAAGAGTATCGCATGTTATACAGAAACACTGAAGCTGTACGAGATGTGTCAAATGATGTGACGATACGGGCACTTCGTTTAAACCTTCTCCAATCCACATGTGTCGCAGTATGCAACTTTCACACCTTATTTCTTAACCAAACTTTGCAGTATCAACGTTTATAGAAAATAATTTTTTTCAACATTCGTTGACTTCAGAATATTCCGATACTTTTTTATCTGACTCGTTTACTGCGTCGTGGCTAAATTGTGTGCGTTGAGCCTAAAGGACTACGGTTTTTGGCTAAAGCATTGCGGGTTTTGGTTAAAGCGTGATGCGAAAAGGTGGGAAAATGTGTTCAATCTACCTACTCCCTCCGAAACCGACTATTTTCTGTCATTGCCGTCTCCCATCGGAACACGATGCATTCATTGAACGCTTTTGATAGGGCTGGGAGAAATGTCCGGCATCAAACATCCCTACAAAACCGCATTTTTGCGTTTGGCAAACGTCCGATGCATCTTACACTCACGTTCGATGGGTGCATTTGGCCATCAGAATGCTTTGTATGGTCAATCTTTCTAACAAGGTAGAACAAGAATTATAAATAACTCCTTGTACTTGCTGAGTTCAATTTTTTTCATACGATAATATTTGGCTCTTCCAGCTGTAGCAACCGAGAGTTTTAGCACAAAAACAATCAACTGCGGTTACATCTATTTGATCTGCAGTTCGAAACAAGTGATGATCGATCGATCAAGCTTGTGTACGGGTTTCAGATGTGTGTTCTCATCAGGCAAAACTCTCGTTTAATTCAGTTTTGTAGAAAAGGTTGATATTAATCGATGAAAACTTGCACTGTGCAAGTAGATAGAATTAGCTTTAGCTCGTGCTGTGCCGTGGTAGAAAGAGGGACGAATTTCACCAGTAACAGTTCACCAACAGTAATCGACAGTTGTAACGTTTTCATCGTAGTATGTCCCAGAGGACATACAGTGAAATTTTTCCTGAAATCATTTGTACAGCACTGCACTGCTGTGTTCTCTAATCCAATACACATCTGGAAAAAGGTATTTGTGTGCTGAGAATCAATGCAGTATTTTTAGTGGGTTTGTGTTGACAATGACAGAACCCACTGTTG